CTGTTCTAGACCATTTCCAGAGGTCTTCAGTAGGGTGAGCTCTGGTGCCTGCAATGGTCCAGGCTCCAGAAGGCACCCTCTACGGGCACCCACCCCTCCCCCACCTCACTCTCTACCAAAGTTTTTGGGGCCATCTCCCAAATAAAACCTTGCACTCCAATTCTTACTTTAGGTTACATATCTGGGGAAACCCAAATGAAGATGTGTCATACTCCAACAAAATGTTTACTTAAAAAGAAAAGGGCATGGGAGAAAGCTCTCACTTTTGAAGAGATAACAATATCACTTAGGAGAGGTGGCTTGAGTGAGGTGGTATATCAGAATACGTCTTATCATGATTATCAGTGTCAAGATTGCTTGTAATGCACACAAACAAAAATTGATCATATGATCAGAAATGGTGCTAGAAGTCTTACATAGAATATCTCACTTCTTTATTATCTTTGTTGTGTGTGTGTGTGCCAGTTTCTTGCTCTTTTGCCCGGGATGGAGTGCAGTGACATGGTCACACCTCACCACAGCCTCGACCTCCTAGGGTCAGGCGATCCTCCTTTCTCGGCCACCTGAGTAGCTGGGACTGTAGGCATGTGCCATCATGCCCAACTAATTTTTTGTAGAGATGAGGTCTCGCTATGTTGCCTAGGCTGGTCTCAAACTCCTGGGCTTATGCAATCCTCCCACTTCAGCTTTCCAGAATACTGGGATTACAGGCATGACCCTTTAGGAAGCCATTGCAAGAATCTAGGGGTAAGACGCCAAGGGCATCCACCCTAATTTTGATGAAGAAATTGAAAGTCACAGATGCAAGATAACTTACTCAAGATCACATTACAATTTCATGATGAATTAGGACCTATTGGGACTGGCTACCTCTAAGGTAAGTGTGATGCTGACCAGATTGTGAAGGGTCAGGATGAGAACAGAGAGATTAAGGCATTTCATCTTCCACCCAATGAGAAACCGCGGTGGTTACACAACAGAGGACTGCAACGACCAGCTTTTGTGGACACTCCCTCCAACTGTAGAAGGAAAATGGACTGGAAGGGAAGGGGCAGAGGCAGGGCTATTGCAAGAATCTAGGAGTAAGATGCCAAGGGCTGCCACCAGGGCAGGGCTTCCAGAAATGACAACGAGGGGATGGGGTTCAGAGTCATTGGCTGGGGGAGGAGGTGACATGTCTTAGTGACCAGTCAGACACAGGGGTCGAAGAAGAGGAGAGACAGCCTCTTGGTTCAGATGTTGGGTGCTGGGCTTGAATATTTTTACTGATTCCTCAACAATCGACTGTCCTTGTAACAGGGGTCCCCCTGGTGGTAAAAGAAAACCAGGAACGGAGGTCCCCGTTCTGGGAACTTGCGGTCTGGGGACCCAGGTGTGCAAGGGAACATGGTTACACTGTCACGGAACAAGGGTGTTCTTCTCCTTCCGTGGTGGCCAGAAGCCATGTGTTAAATAGCTGCATGCTGAGAGCTGTTGAGATTAGAGGGGGCAGGGTGGCAGCCTGCACCCACTCCAGCAAGGTGGTTGTGGGCCTCTCCTATCTCTCCAAGAGATCACCCATAGGGGGCCGTAACCAGCATCCATGACTCTGAGTCCAGCAAGGGCTTGGCAACTCTCCTGGGAAATATTAACCGCATATTTATTATTATTATTTTTTGAGTTGGAGTCTCACTCCGTCCAGGCTGGAGTGCAGTGGCCCGCTCCTAGTCACCACAGTCTCCGGGCAATCCTCTGACCTCGGCCTTCCAAAGTGCTGGGATTATAGGCACGATCCACCACGCCAGGGCTAATCTCATCTCTTAACAGTGAGGTGGAGGAAAGAGTGCAGATGCTAAGGCCAGATTCATCTGCGATTGGACCATTGGCTTTGCCCAAATCTGCAGTTATCTGTTTCTTTTTGCATAAACTGTACATACTCATGCCTGGTTAGGAGGCTTGAGGGAATATTTTTAAAGCAGGAGTTCCATGCTTCCTTAACTGTTAGAAGATGACTTTAGGAGTTTAAGAGATGACTGTCACAGCCCTCCAGATGTAGAGGCCCAGGGATCCAGGTGGACTGTGGCTATGTTAATAGAAAGGGCGGGCACCAAGGCAAACTTAAACAATTGCTAAACCCTCATCTAAATAGATAAGGTGGCACCTGGAGAGACTGCTGTCTTTGTGCTTTTCCCTTTATGCCTTGGGCATAGCCCTTGGGAAAAATGAGTTTTCTAAAACAGGTGCTTTTGACTAAGCTTGAGTCATTCACCAAGATGAGATATTTCAGTAGCTTTCCATTTTGAGCCTCTGGCAGTTTCCTGATTAAGTATAAATACCTTGCTGGCTACATAAATACACATCCAGCACAACCTTTTGCTGAGTAAACAAGGCCAGCAGCTACAGAGATCCGAGCAGAGACCCACAGCACAATTGCATCTGGGGCTTCCTTCTACAAATCCCTTCAGATCCGGGAAGGGCTTAGTGTTAAATCTCGCAAGGGTTGCCTCTTGAAATCTCCGAAGCCTGATTTTTTTCTCCCCAGGAGCTCTGTGGATTCCTTGGTTGTATCTATCTGTAAGCTTTTGTAAGCTGCCTAATGAAAACAACTGCATTTTCCTGACTTAATTGCATATCATTAAGTGGGCTCACCGTAGTGCTGTCAATGGATGTTATGAGAAGTGTTCTGCTCTCTGGGGACCACCAGCATCCCCGGCAAGCGGCAGACCAGGACTTTCATGATGTGCACAGAAAGTCACTTTTTTTTTTTTGAGTTGGATTCTCACTCTGTCGCCCAGATGGAGTGCAGTGGCCGCTCCCGGCCACCACAGCCTCGACCTGCTGGGCTTCGGCGAACCTTCTGCCTCAGCCTTCCAAGTAGCCGGAATTACAAGCATGCGCTACCATGCCCGGCTGATTTTTGATTTATTGTAGAGATGAGGTCTCACTGCCCAGGTGGGTCTTGAACCCGCGGGCTCAGGCAATCCACTCACCTCAGCCTCCCAAAGGCACAGGATTACGGGCTGAGCCACCGAGCCCAGCTAGAAAGTCACTTCTTAAAGGTCAGAATGTAACCATTAGAAAGAAATGACTCTATTGAGCCGCACAAGACTGTATCATCTTGAATAACAGGGAGTGTGATAAATCATTTACTATACATTTCATAAAGAAAACCGTGAGGTTCTCTTTGTGGTGATTTCTCTTCCCTCTCATATTTTATCTGACACCTCTTATTAGCTCTTTTGATTTTAGACTTTAAATTGTTTTGTAGGAGGACATGACAAGGAAGCTTGTTTTGCACTTTTTTTGGTATTAACCACAATCTGCTAGGCACAGAATGAATATGTGCCTTTGAGTGAGAATAGTTTTAGGTACCAGAATGCTCACTGAATGAGGAAACTTATGTCCTAACCGGTGACCCCCATAATGACTCTCCCTTCCACTGCCTGTAATTTTGGAAGACCTTGATTTTGTCTCGGCCACAGGATAGCCGAGCTTAGGATACAAGTGGGGGGTATTTCATTTTCCTTAGAGCACGAAAGGCCCACAGAGGGCATTTTCTCCCTGTTTGGTAAGTTCCTGCAGTTCTGTGGGTTTGGAGCAAAATGGACCTCAGGGAAGTACTTGCCAATTGACAGCCAAGTCCTGACCCAAAAAAGCTAAGAAGTTGAAAAATAATTTTGTATAGTATTCTAGAAAGTTGTGAAAAGGAAACTTAATGAAAATATTTTAAAATAATAATTTAATTGCTGTTTTATTAACTCAATTATATGCGTGTTTTTTTGGAGGGAGCCTGGAGTCTCACTATGCCACCCAGACTGGAGTGCAGTGGCACGATCACAAGTCATTGTTCATGGCAGGGCAGCCTCCACCTCCTGAGCTCAGGCAATTCTTCCACCTCAGCATCCCAAGGAGCTGGGACTATAGGCACACACCGCCAAACTGGGCTAATTTTTTGAAAAATTTTTTTTGGGGGGTAAAGATGAAGTTTCACTATTTTTCCCAGGTTGGTTGTGAACTCCTGGGTTCAAGCAGTCCTCTAGCCTCAGCCTCCCAAAGTACTGGGATTACAGGCATGAGCCACCACACCTGACCTGATTTTATATTTGTTTTTGAATGATTTTTTTTCCATCATGAAATGTGAATGTGATAAGTTTGTAAACTTTTAAGTTCCCCAAATAAATTCTTCTTTGCTCCATTTGGGCAGGGATTTGGCCATATTATAAATGGTTCACTTTGCGTATAAGGATGACAGTCATTGTTATCTACAGAGGTGTATAAATATTTGTGCAGACATCATTGTCTTGACCCAGACAGTTCCCAAGTGAGTGAGCCTGTGATACATCATCAATGAATGGATGTGTTCATTTGTGTGTGTGTGTGTGTGTGTGTGTGTGTGTGTGTGTGTTGTGAATGGAGTTTCTCAACAGTTATGCATGTGCATATTTGCTCATTGGGCAGGTGATTCTTCCTTTTGGGAGCTGACTGGGTGTAGCCTAGACTCATTCTGGTCAAAGCCATTCAGTCATGGCTGATTGTGATGGATGGACGCACACTTAGCAAAGCTAAGCTTGCCCCTCATGCACTCTGTCTCTTCCCTCAATCCTTGCTGGTGGTCTCCAGTGTGTAAGCCTAATGTGTGTATGCATGTCCAGGTCACACTCTGAATCAGAACAGTGAATTTTCAAAGAAAGTCTTGTGTGAGAGACCAAGAAGCCCCGGAAGTCTGATACCACTGTGGTGTCCTGAGCCCTGCTGGCCAGTGTCCTCAGAGCCCTGCCTGCTGGTATCTTGGGGCCTTACCTGCTGGTGTTCCCACAGCCTCACCTGTTGGTGTCCTCCAAGCCCTATCTGCCAGTTACTTGCTGGTGTCCCCCAAGTCCCACCTGCCAGTGTTCCCCGAGTCCCACCTGCTGTGTCCCTGAGCCCCACCTGCCATATCTCCCGAGCCCCACCTGCCATGTCCCCCAAGCCCCACCCACCGTGTCCCCGGGGCCTCACCTGCTGTATCCCCTGAGCCCTACCTGCCGGTGTCCCCAGAGCTGGTTTCCCTTCATGCCATGGCAGTCATAGAGCGTGACGGGGCTGCTGTGAGAGACGGCGTCGAAGCAGAACTTCCGGGTGTGCAGAGGCTCCCCAGGTCGGATGTCCTCTCTCCACCCAAAGGTAAAGAGCTGGCAAAGTAATCAGAGCAGGGAAGATGCAGTGAGTTTGACTTGGAGAGAGGATTCCAGGGCAGAGGAGATCTGTCTTTTAACAATAAAGATGCCTGCTCAGTGGCCTTGTAGAAAGGATGTCTCAGCTGACAGAGATGTTGGGAAAGCCACGCCTCATAAAGAGCTGTGGCAGCAAGTGTTCCACCGTTAGCCCAGGTTGCCAAAACATGCAGATGAAAAGTTTCTTGATGGAAGAAATACAGACAGGGGAGAGAGAGAGAGAGAGAAAGAAGACAAGAGAAGAGAAAGGAAAGAGGAGAGAAAGAGGAGAGAGAGAGAGAGAGAGAGAGAGAGAGAGAGAGAGAGAGAGAGAGAGAGAGGAGAGAGAAAATAGAAGGGGGAGAGAGAGAGAAAGGGGGAGAGAGGGGAAACAGAAGTTTCATAAAATGATATTTACTGTCACTGTATTTAATAGACTCATAATCCATCCAACATCTTCTGATCCTAGTCTAACTGATCCCATCCTATGCATTTCATTCTATAATATTACAAATGCTACTTATACACTACATCGATTTTCACAAGCCACACAAAGCATTCCTGAAGGGGGAGGACATTTTCTTGAGTTGTTTGAGGTGAATGGCCTTTAAGCTGTGGAGGAGGAGAAATTCTTAAGTAAGGGGAGAAATGCACAAGATGAGCCCTGGGATTTGTTCCTTTGGGAACCTTCTAGTAAGGGTCTGTGAGTCTTGCAACAGGACCTCAAGCAGGCTGGCTGTGGGAAGCCCAAAGGTGAGCTGCAAACCCCGAAGGGCTGTCAGGGAACTCTGCTGATGTGAAAGCCAGCGCAAGGCTGGACGGTGTGTGGATAACACGCAACTCTGGCCACACTCTCAGTATATAGACATTTCTGGAGTCAGCCCCCTTGTGTTGCTGGGAGTACCTCAATGGTCTCCTCCTGGTCTCTTCCTAGCTTCCTTCTTCGGCTCTCAACATCTGTCGCCTCAGACTCCAGAGATGACTGCTGGAAAGCCCTACCTGACCGTGTTCTTGCTCAACCTAAAATCCCACCACAGCTCACACGGCCCTTAGAGAATACAGTTCAGATTCTCTAGCACACGGGGGACTTCCTGCGACCTGGCCTTGGCTGTTCCTTCTAGCTACAACTCTCTCCTTTGAGTTTATGCTCCAGCAACACTGAAAAGTTTGCCGTGTCTTGCACAGATCAGATGGTAATTTCCCTTCTGTGACTTTGGTCCAGAGAGTCCCTCTGGCTGGACGGTTGACACCCACCAGTCATGTTCGTTCATGCCAGTTGGTTAAGGTTTTGCACACCCAAGAAGCCACCCTCTTGGGACTGCCTTCTCCTTCCTGACCCTCACCCATTTCATCAAGATTCTCTGTTTCTGTCTTTGTACACTCACTAGACAGTGAGTTCCTTCAACACGGGGTTGTTTGTTTATTTATTTATTCATTTGTTTATTTATAATTTTTCTCTGAGTTGGAGTCTCCCTCTGTCACCCAGGCTGGAGTGCAGTGGCAGGATCACAGCTCACTGTAGCCTCGACTTCTTGGGCTCAGGTGATCCTCCTGCCTCAGTCTTCTGAGTAGCTGGGATTCCAGGCATGTGTCCCCATGCGGCTAATTTTTTGATTTTTTTTTTGGTACAGGTGAGGTCTTGCTATGTTGCCCAGGCTGGTCTCAAACTTATGGGCTCAAGCAATCCTCTGGCCTTGGCCTTCCAAAGTGCTGGGATTACAAGCATGTCGTGCCCGGCGGGGGTTGTTTCCTCTTTATCTGTGTGCTTCTAGCACTCAGAGAAATTTATGGCGCACAATAGATACTCAATGGAATATCTGTGGAATAAATAAAACTTGCACTCAGTATGTTAACGGAAAGTGTGTTGAGGTAACTGTCAAGATAAATGAATTAGTCTCTCAAACACATCTGTGCTGTTTATGTCTAATTACAACAATATCAGTGATAATTATTATTTTTCAAACTTTCAGCCTTGATGATTTTACCTGTTATTGGAATAGAAACGTCCTGACCTATAAACCTGTGATTGGCTTCAATTAAATATTTTATACACCTTACCTTTTATTTTATTTTTTGAGTTGGAGTCTCACTCTGTCGCCCAGGCTGGAATGCAGTGGCACACTCACAGTCACTGCAACCTCAACCTGCTGTGCTCAGGTGATCCTTCTGCCTCAGCCTTCCAAGTAGTTGGAAATGCAGGCACGTGCCTCCATGCCTGGATAATTTTTTGATTTATTATAGAGATGAGGTCTCGCCGAGTTGCCCAGGCTACCTTGAACCCATGGGCTCAGGTAATCCTTTCAATTATAAGCGTGAGCCACCGTGCCCAGCCAAATATTTTATTTTCTTTTTTCACCTTCTATGTCCATTTTTTCTTTTCTTTCTTTTTTTGAGTAGGAGTCTCACTCTGTCACCCAGGCTGGAGTGCAGTGGCACATTCACAGTCACCGCAGCCTCGACCTGCCAGGCTCAGGCGATCCTTCCACCTCAGCCTTCTAAGTAGCTGGAACTACAGGTGCAGCACACCACCATTCCCAGCTAAAATTTTGATTTATTGTAGAGACACAGTCTCACCATGTTGCCCAGGCTGGTCTTGAACTCCTGGACTCAGGCAATCCTCTCGCTTCCACCTCCCAAAGTGCTGGGATTACAGGCTTGAGTCACCGCGCCCGAACTTTTTTTTATTTTTCAGTCTTACTGCGATAAAACTGGAAAACAAAAGTTGCCTTTGGTGGATCCTGGGCTAATGGTCAGGCTGAGGCGGCCCTGGAGATTTGCAGACCAGGTGTCTGTTCCAGAAGAACTTGCTGCAGAGAGTGCGGCTGGCCCATGGCTCTCTAGCTGCTGTAACCTGGGAGCTAACAGCTCTCAGAACATTCCTGCTGAGACCATCTCCCACCCCTTTCACACCTGGCCTGAGCAAGGCACCTCTACGGTTGCAGATGCACCTTTAGCTTGTGCTGATCTCTGAGACTCCTCCCCCATCCTCTTCCTTTGAGTTGGAGTCTCACTCTGTGGCCCAGAATGGAGTGCAGTGGCACGCTCCCGGCCACCACAACCTCGACTTGCTGGGCTCAGGCAATCCTTCCTCCTCAGCCTTCCAAGTGGCTGGAACTACAGATGCACGCCACCACGCCCAGCTAGTTTTTGTGATTTCGTGTAGAGACGAGGTCTCACCATGTTGCTCAGGCTGGTCTCAAACCACTGGGCTCATGCGATCCTCTCACCTTGGCCTCCCAAAGTTCTGAGATTATAGGCTGAGCCACCGCACCAGGCTCATCCACGTCTTAAATATCACTTTTTGCTGGCACTCTAGGCAATTCAACCAAGACAGGGACAAGTAAACTTGATTAGTTTATCTATTTTTCTCCCTGTCTCCCTCTCTCTCTCTCTTTGATTTTTATTTTTAGACTTAAGGGGTGCAGGCACAGGTTTGTTGCATAGATAGATCATGTGATGGTAAGGGTAGAGCTCCTAGTGAGTCCATCATCCAGGTGGTGGACCTGGTACCCAATGGGGAGTTTTTTTTTCATCTTTTTTTATTTTTATTTTTTCAAGTTGGGGTCTCATTCTGTCGTAGACTGACACTATCATGGCTCACTGTAGCCGTGAACTCCTGGGCTGAAGGAATCCATCCTCCTAGGCCTCCTGAATAGTTGGGACTGCGGGTGTGTGCCACCACACCTGGCTCATTTTTTTATTTCTTTTTTGTAAAGACGAGGTCTTACTATGTTGCCCAGGCTGGTCTTGAACTCCTGGTGAGAGCCACCGTACCTGGCTGTTGTTTGATTTTCATATACCCAGAAGACCAGACCTGAAAGGGACTTCAGTCACAACCTAGAATGGTTCTTGTTAGACAGTTTGGGAAATTCAGGTTGCAGAGGTAAAGTGTCTTAGTTCTGCCACGCCTTCATTTTGTGCCTTTTATTTTATTTATTTATCTGAAAACATTTTTATTTTAAGGATGTGGATACAATTCAGGATTATGTATACAGGTGGACATCATACAGGTAAAATTTGGGGTTCACTTTGGTCCCCATTTCACCTGGTTTGAGATCAGGTGCCCTTATTGATGTAGTGTGTTCCCACCTCCCCTGGCAGTTTCCCACTACTGTCAATCCCTTTCTTGCAATATTACGATAATGGTTCAGGGTTTGCTTATGAGCAAGAACATGTGGTACTCAGTTCTTTGTTTCTGTGACAGATCGCTCAGTATTATAACCTCCAAGGTCATCCAAGTTACTGCAGAATTCATAATTTTGTCCTTCTATATGACTGTGTAGTATTCCATTGTGTATATGTATCACATTTTTTTTTATCCAGTCCTCTTTCAATGGGCAGCATGGTTGGTTCCATGTTTTTGCAATTGTGAATAATGCTGCAATAAACATGCATGTGCAGGTATCTTTTTCACAGAGTGATTTGAGTTCTTTCGGGTATATTCCCAGAATGGAGATTGCTGGGTCATATGGGAGGTCGATTTTTAGATCTTTTAGGAATCGTCACACTGTTTTCCAGAGAGGTTGTACTAGTTTACACTCCCACCAACAGTGCAGAAATGTTCCCCTTTCCCTGCATTCTATCCAGCATCTGTTGTTTTTTGAGTTATTGATGATGGCCATCCTGACTGGAGTTAGGTGTTCTCTCAGTGTAGTTTTAATTTGCATCTCCATGATGACTAGTGATGTTGAACATTTCTTCATGTATCTGTTGGCCACTTGAATGTCTTCTTTTGAGAAGTGTTTGTTCACATCTTTTGTCCACTTTTAAATAGGGCTTTTTTTTTTTCCTGGCACATTTGAGTTTTTTGTAAATCCTGGATGTTAGGCCTTTGTCAGATATACAGTTGGCAAAATTTTTTTTTTTCCCCATTCTGTGGGCTGTCTCATTGCTCTCTTGATGGTTTCTTTTGCTCTGCAGAAGCTTTTTAGTTGATGAGGTCCCACTTGTCTATCTTATCTCTTATGGCATGGGCACTT